ATTCTATTCTATTCTATTCTATTCTATTCTATTCTATTCTATTCTATTCCTTCCAATATTTATTCTGTTATGTTCTAAGAAGCAACGAGTGGAAACTTACCAAGAACAGAAGCAACCTAGAACAAAGGAGAAACTTCCTGTCAGGGAGAACAATGAACCAGTGGAACTCTTTGCCACTGGAAGTTGTGGATTAGGGAAGAGACCGGACGGCCATTTGTCTGAAATGGTACAGTCTCCTGCTTGAGTGGAGGGCTAGACTAGAAGACCTCCAAGACCCCTGCCAACTCTGTGATTCTGTTATGTGATCTTTATTGGTAAAGGGACGCAAAAGGAAGTCAACAGATTTGAAGCATCAATTCTTTGTCGAAGTTAAGATTTGGAACTAAAAAGGTTTCTCGCCACCTCTCAAGTGCTAGTTCTTACAATACCTTTACTTCCAAGGCAGTGGTCGGTTTCACACTTTTTTTTACCACCGGTTCTGTGGGTGTGGTTTGGTGGGCACGCTTTGTGTGCACGTGCAGAGGGTTTGTTACTGACTTTTTCCTGCAATCCTGCACTCTCCCTGCGTCTTCAACAGCCGACGGGCGGCAATCCGCTATGCTGCGTGAAGCAGCTGAGCTTCAAAACCAGGAAATAAAGGTCAGAATAGAGCCAGGGCAGGCAGGAGGGCTCAGCAGCTGATCGAACCGGTGGCAACTCTAAAAATACCATAGAAATATTATATGAGTTGACACCAGTTCGCTCACAAGATGATCCTCGGAGCTACCGGTTTGGATGAACCGGGATGAACCGGTATTATATAAAATCATATATAAAATCATACATTGCAATGTCCTACCTGTCAATGAATACTTCAGCTTCAACCATAACAACACAAGAGCAAACAATAGATACAAACTCAAGGTTAACCGCACCAAACTTGATTGCAGGAAATACGACTTCAGCAACAGAGCGGTCAATGTCTGGAATCTTCTACCTGACTCTGTGGTTTCTTCCCCAAACCCCAAAAACTTTAACCTTAGACTGTCTACTATTGACTTCACCCCTTTCCTAAGAGTCCTGTAGGGGGCGTGCATAAGCGCACCAACGTGCCTACCGTCCCTGTCCTATTGTTTCTTTTACTTTTCTTATATGTACCCATTTCATGTATTCATAACTATGTATATACTTATACCTATTATCTTGTAAGCAATTGACAAATCAAATCAAATAAATAAATAAATAAATAAATACTGCCACTAACAGGTAACAGATAACAGATAATCAGAGTTGGAAGGGACCTTGTAGGTCATTTAGTCCAACCCCTTGACCAAGCAGGAGACACCATTTCTGACAGATGGCAATTCAGTCTCTTCTTGAAAGCCTCCAGTGATGAAGCTCCCACAACTTCCGAAGGCAACTTCTGTTCCATTGGTTGGTTGCTCTCACTGTCAGAAAATTCCTCCTTATTTCCAGGTTGAATCTCTCCTTGTTCACTTTCCATCCATTGTTCCTGGTCTGGCCTTTGGGTGCTTTGGAAAATAGCTTGACCCCCTTCCTCCTCTCTGTGGCAGCCCCTCAAATATTGGAAGTCTGCTCTCTTGTCTCCCCTGGTCCTTCTCTTCCCTAGACTAGCCATGCACTGTTCCAGGGTCCTTTCCAACTCTGTTATTCCGTTTCTCTCACCTCCGGTGTTCTCCTTCTTTCTGTTCTGCAGTTTCAGCTTCTTGGTCGGTCACTTACCCGGACACTCTGTCGGCTGTCCAGGGTTCTTGTGCCGTGCTCCCCTGCACGTTCACCTTCCCAAGTGGAGTTTCCGACGCCGATGGGATCGTGGCCATCTGGTTCAAAGACATGGATAAGCAGCCGATCACCGTTTTCCACTCCAAGTCTCCGGAGACAATCGATGCTCGCTTTCAAAGCCGCGCTGAACTGCTGGGTGACCCCCTTAAACGCAACTGCACCCTGCTCCTGCGACACTTGACGATGGAAGATGTTGGCAAGTATTCCTTCCGGTTCGAAGTGGTCAATGCGAATCGTTGGACGGAGAAGAAGCAGCTCCAGCTGACCATCACTGGTAAGTGGCCTGCTTCTCCAACCAGGAATGGAACCATCTGTTCTGACCCAGCTCCCCAAATGCAACAAACCCTCTGAAGCAGTGGTGAGATTCAAACGTTTACTACCGGTTCGGTGGGTGTGGCTTGGTGGGCGTGGCAGGGGAAGGATATTCGCAAAATCCCCCTTCCCTCCCCACCCCACTAACCTGCTTTCCAGCTCCGTTCTCCTGTGGAGGGCAACCAAAGGAGACCCAGCCGATCAGCTGGGATTTGAGAGGCAGAATTGAAGTCCGCCCATCTTAAAATATGCTGGCTGAGGGATTCTGGGAATTGAAGTCCACCATCTTAAAGCATATTGGCTGGGGGACTCTGGAAGTTGGAGTCCTCCCCTTTTAAAGCATGCTGGCTGGGAAATTCTCGATTGGAAGTCCATTCCTCTTAAAATACGATGGCCGCGGAATTCTGGGAGTAGAAATTCACCCATCTTAAAACATGCTGGCTGGGGAATTCTGGGAGTTGAAGTCTACAAGTCTTAAAAGTTGCTAAGCTGGGACATCCCTGGCCTAGATGCTACTCTTAAGCTTATATGGGTGGCATGCAGGGGTGGGATTCAGCCGCTTCGGGCCGGTTCAAGAACGGAGAGGGGAATCCATGTTCCTTCAGTTCCCATCATCCCCTGTAGGCATAGAGACAAGATGGATGAGAAGTGGTGTTATGCTTTCAACAGTTGCAACGTTTGGAAGTCCAGCCATCTGAAAGCATGTTGGCTGGGGGATTCTGGGAGTTGAAGTCCACAAGTCTTAAAGTGGCCAAGTTTGAAGACCCCTGGGCGACAGCATAACCAATGGAGTTAAGAGGTCTTCTCCAGGTCATTCCAAAGCTCATCCCTTTGTTTCTTTCCTCAGATAATCCTGATACACCCACCATTGCTGCCCCCGGAGACCTGAAGGAAGGAGTTCTGGAGACCTTTAAGTGTTCCAGTCCATACGTCTGTCCCTATGACCACAGCTCCCTGAGATGGTTTGGCTATGACCCTGAGATCTCAAGTGTATCTGGAACAGTCCAGTTGGACACCACGGCAGCCATCTCTAAGCAAACCCTCCAAACGACACTGACCTGGAAGAACCACCAACAGAAGTTGGTCTGTGAAGTGTGGGTCGGGACCAAGAAGGCCAGAGGGGAAGTTATTCTCCATGTAGGACGTGAGTAGAGTAGTCCCACCTGCTGGGATTATCTCCACATCACTTAAGAGGTATCACAGTCAAGATCCAACCCAATAAAGGACCTTCTTCCAAACTTTGAAGGCCATCACGCTGAAATAGGCTGAGCTACCAACTCAACCCTTTGTCATTAGTGGTTTTTTTACATATATACATATACACATACACATACACAACACACACACACACTCACAGACACTCACAGACACACACACATATATAGCAGTGGTGGCTAAACATTTTGGGCTCCTGTGCCAAAAATTGTGCCTGTGATTGCACGCTCACGCTTGCGTGCCAGCACCCAGAAGGCAATGCACACACACACCCATGCCCCCTACACATGCATGCGCAATCCCTACCCACCCACTCTTGCCCCCTTACCTGCACTGAGTCTCACAGCTGATTTTCAGTGGATTTGAGGCCTTTTTTGGCCTCCCAAAGGCTTGAGGAAGGCTTCTGCAGGCTTTACAGGCCGAAAACTATCCCCGTTTTGTCACTTCCGGTATTTTTGGAAAAGCAGGAAGTGACGAAACGGGGCTAGTTTTTGGCCTGCAAAGCCTGCAGAAGCCTTCCTCAAGCCTTTGGGAAGCCGAAAAAGGTCTCAAACCCACCAAAAATCAGTACAGTAGTGAAGGTGCCAGGCTAGAAACCATGAGCTAGTGAGTTCTAGTCTTGGCTTGGACATGAAAGCTGGACGGATGATTTTTGGGCCAATCACCAGGAGACAGTTCTAGTCCTGCCTTAAACATAAAAACCAGCTGCGTGACTTCAGGCCAATCCCCAGGAGATGGAGAATTCTAGTCCCATTTTAGGCATGAAAGCCAGCTGGGTGACTTTGGGCCAA